TCTCTCTCTCTCTCTCTCTCTCTCTCTCTCTCTCTCTCTCTCTCTCATCTCCTCGCAGAGCGCGTCTCCTCTTGCTCGTGAAGAAATCCGATTTATGGGGTTTCTCGTCACTGATTTTTGCGGAGCGAACGCCGCCGGGGGCGAGCGGTCGCGCCGTGCCCGTAACAGAGCCATTTGCATTTGGTATTTTCGCAGCCCGGCCGACGTTTATCCGAGGGGCACCAGCCTCGAAAAAGAGTCACTCGAGCGAACGGGGGCCCCTCCCTTTTGTTCTCCGCTCGTTTCCCCGATCGCTCCCTCAGAAACGGGCTTTCACGAGTCGCCGGAAAGATGGAGAGAGAAAGAGAGAGGGAGAAAGAGCGAGCGAGAGAGAAAGAGAGAGAGAGAGAGAGAGAGAGAGAGAGAGAGAGAGAGAGAAAGAGAGGAGAGAGAGGAGAGTATGGTTTCGCGTGCAATATTCATACGATTGCGCGCATGAAACTGCGGAATTGCTCCCGGCGAGCAGTATTACCCGTTTTGCATTACCGCGGGTTTGCGTCCTGTGAAATTGTTAATGGTCCAATCCCTCTAAGCGCATAATCGTGGGACGAATCCTGCCGGAAGTAATATCATTTTGCAATGTGCGACGATGCATACGCGAGTCGAGAGGCTTTTGAGGTGCAAAACGACGGGGGTCGTCCGAAAATAGCACCTCCGAAATGCAAGCTTTTTTTCCGAGTCGTGATATTTAAAATACGTCGGATATTTGGAATACGTTTCTCGACTTATCCAGGTAAAGCAATTCCGGAATATTTTAGCGGGACGCGGAGGCGCGGCCGCATATCCAGGTAGATTTTCATGTTTGTCATGACGTGAACGCGCGATCGCTGATGGAAATTACAATTGTCTTAGTTACATTCACGAGGCAAATATGCTGTATTGAATTAATCATGAAATTTACATTGCGCAATGATATAAAGCTTTTGTTACATCGATGCATCAGCAAGTTTGCTAAGACCCATGTTAACAGCTTGCTACTTGAAACTTGTCTCATTTGACATACTCAGATTTTCACTCAGAGTTAGATTCAAGTTTTTCAGTTGAATCACAGTATATATGATCTTTATGTAATCGCCATTCAACTGAAAAACTTTCATCTAGCTCTGAACTGAAATATCTCACTTGAGTTTCAAATAACGGCTATTTATACGGGCCATAGTGTTTTCAGCAAATTCGTATAATTTCTTTCGCATTTCTATTTCGTCATTTTCTATGTGATAAATATAAGTGCTATATGAATCACTTATAAGAGACACAACCTTTACAAACTAACCAATTGTTGTCAAATTTATGTGTACCTGTCTGTCTGACTCACACAACGCGCATGTTTCAAATACATCTTAGAAACGTTCAAAAGACGTTTGACCGTCTTAAATAGTAACGTATCTTCGAGACATCTTTAAGACGTTTTTAATACATGCGTGTTATGTGAGGGAATATCTATAATCGCCGCCGTTATTCCGCCTGGCGCATCCTTGGAGGCTCCATACCACGTGATGGTTAATAAATTTGCGGTTTACGTAGAAAAGGTTAACGTCGCTGCGCGTACGGCGAAATAACGTCGCGTGCCACGAGTTGCGCGAGGCATTTACATATACCGCCGTACCAGCGCGGAAAGACAATGTGACGTTTATATTCCGAATTCAGGTTACAAACGTGTCGCAACAGACGTGTGCGAATCTTTTTGCGCGATCTATGTGCCGAAGGCGCGGGAAAAAG